GGGGTCTCTGATTTAATTCAAACCAGGAAAGGGTCTGGGACAGACAATGCATAAACCAGTTTGAGCCAAATCAGTTAAGTCTGATAAACCTGGTTGAGTGTAGTTTATCAACCTGGTTTATGTGCACTAAACATCTGTTCCATTACAGGTTTAAACCAGTTACTGATCACTTAAACCAGTTTGTGTAAGGTCTATCCCTGGCCAAAAGTGCTCATTACCCTTATACCCATGGGCTAGGGCTAGCCTCTCCCCTCTGTTCCCTGGCTGCAGCTCCAGCAGAGACTGCAGGTACAGCAGCACCTGCCCGGCTTCCTCCTGCTCTCTCCCACCACTCCCTGCTCAAGCAGGGAGTCCCCCCTCCCCTCTGCCTCACATAGACACCTCTCAGCATTAGCTAGCATACCACATGCTGGCTATGGTTTGTGCTGTAGGAGACAGGAAAAAGGCAGACAGGTAGCTGGTAATGTCCCTCTGTTCCTTTATTGAAAAAAGTTGTTTAAGAAGAGCTTGAAGTCTCTTGTTTTGTTTGAATGGCTGATAAATGCTAATAACTGCCTGTGTAACTCCCTGCTGTGTAACTGCATGCTGTGTTAACAATGGCAGAGCGGAGATGGGGGACCCTTCCTTAATCAAAGCAACCTGCTGGGGCCTGACCATGCCCTCCCCCACTCAGCTCAGCACTGTAGAAGGGTAGGGAGGGCTGCTCTAGTACCTCCCAGTTTCTAGCCTGAGCCACTGCAGCCATGTGCCTGCATTTCTTCAGTCCAGAGGGGATGTCTGTATGATTGCAAACTGGTTCACCCTAGCCAGGTTAGACCAACCTGCAAAAATTGAATCAATTTAGGCTCAGGCTTTTTGAATGTCAGTCCCTAGCCGTAATGCTTGTACATAGGGCTTTTTTATGCAGCACACAATATAGCCATCACTTAGATCCACATAGCAAATGCTGCCCCACTGGTAGAATTACTCCTCTTCTGTACTGTGCTTTTTATCTTTGTCTCATTTCTTTCCTCTGGCTCCAGCAGCCATCTGCAAACAGTAGTTTAGAGTCAGCACAGGGGCTCAGCTGACAGAAGCATGAAATCTGATTCATGAGGATGTCCCAATTAGGCAGAACCCACTAATGAAAATTACCTTAATGAAAGCCTTTAATCTCTTTCAATATTGTCATAGGCACTTGAGATCACAAGAAAAAAGAGAGGCATAGTTGCTATCCACTTACCACAAGTATGAGAAGTTTGAGTGAAGGGACTAGATGTTAACAGAGGCTTTGACTAATGGAAAAAGAGTATTTGATGTTTCTTGCAGCTCTTGTTGCCACAGAGCACTTGCTTTTTGCAAATTAAATACTTTTCATTACACCTTATTCCTTCTGCTTTTTAATTCCAGTTTGCTCCGTGGGGTCTCTGTTGAGATCCAATGGCATCCTTTACCTCTGCCTTTAAAAATATTAGATAAGACTGGAATTAAATTGTACCATTCCTCTTCTATGTAGAAAGCAGGTAGTAAATGAAAACGAAAGCTCTACACAACCAAGAGCTGAAGTTTGACATGTTACTGGAGCACTGACAGTACAAACCCATTTATCTGTAAGTTCCTGGGAACATCTATAATCTGTAAATAAGTATAAAGAATTGTTGGGGGTTTTGTAAGTCAGTGTCTGGATCTCCAGAGCAAAACAGGCTTTGAGGGACTGTACTCTAGCTAGGTCATTATCACAGAGAAGTGAGGCAAAAGTGCCAGTGAGTAAGTATTTTTTTAGTACTGTATTTACTTAGATCCAAAACCAACTTTTTTTTCTCCATTCAGTGTAGGGGGGGACATCCCTCATCTTGCATTTGAGTATGAGGAGGAGGGCAGGCAGCTGCTGTGGTTCTGCTTCTGACCCAGGCATGAGATCAGAGTCAGGACTGCAGCCTCTTTCCTGCCTCTTTCCTCCCCCCGCACTTGCCCATTGCACTGCCTCTTCTCCAGCCCCTACCACCTGCCTGTTCCAGCACAGGGCATGGAGTACTTGCTGGCTCTGATCCCTGCCTGGCCACACAGCAGTCATTTTGGCAGTGGCAGTTCCATCTCCAGCTCCTGGGCCACAGCCAGGGTCACAGCTGCCATCACTGCAACCATTGCTGCCTGGCCAGGCAGCAGGCAGTGGCAGTGGGGAGAGGGGTCAGGCAGCAGGGTGCGCCATGCTGAGGGAAGCAGGCAGTAGTGGAGGGCAGGTACTAAGACAGCACAGACGCTGCAGGGGGAGGCAGGCACTGGGGGGTGGGGGCAAGCTCAGGAGGGCAAGTGGTATGCTGCTTGACTCCCCCACTGCCTCCCTACCTGCTGTTGCATCTTTTTCTGCTGCAGCAGTGTGGGGACAAATTTTGGACAGCCCTCCAATAATTAGATTTTAGACATGAAAAATTGTAACAAACTTATGTTCCATATCTAAAATCTGATTATTGTTGAGGGGGTCATCTTAAATTTAAAGTCATCTTGGATTTGGGTAAATATGATAAGTATCCTTTTCTTACTAACCCTGTGTGGTTATAATGTCTGTGCAATTAGATGTTTCTCCTATAATTTGTAAGCCCAGCTGTAATGCGTTTTAACTGCTCATGAGCAAGGGAAATCTACAAGGTGGACTTTATCAACAGCGATTGCTCAGGAGTCGCATGTATGCTTAAGTAGCATTTAAAGGAGCATGTAAATAATTGAAAATTCAAATATTTTGTACCTCCTGAAGCTGAATTTTCTTTTAGTATATATCTTCTGTCTATACGATGGGTTTTCAAGTTGATCGCATTAGTGGTCACAAATTTATTCTAAAAAGTTGTTAGGTAAGGGGAAAGCAGAGTGCCCACACATCTGCATTTCTCACATTCATTGTGCAGCTTATAATTTAAGTGTAGCCAGGTGTTTGATTTCTTCTTTCAGAAGAGGAACTCTTCACAGTCATTTGGAGACTGGACTATTGAAATGGTCTCCTCATGGAGCTACACCACAAGATGCACTACTCATGCAGAATATGGCTACCTATTTACTTAGACAAGCTTAACATAGAGAGAAACTTACGTCTGTGTTCTGAGACATGTACCAGCTTCCAGTTCATTCCTGAATGCAATTCAAGAAGTTGTTTTTCACCTATAAAGTCCTGAGGGACAGATCCAGCCCACAGATACAGGACTTTAGAGCAAGGAGACTTTGGCAGCATCTGCTTTCTCCTGCTACTGTGGAGAAGACGGCCAAATGTGAGTGATTTTTTCCGTCCTCCCACAGGGAAAAGCAGCACTGGGGATACTTTCCCTGTGCCAAAGGAGAAAGTGGTGGCAGCAGCTAGGTCATGTTTACATGACCACCTGAAGTGGGTTCATCTGGCCCACAGCCTTAAAGGCTAGGGACAGACATTACACAGAAACTGGTTTAATTGATCAGAAACTGGTTTAAACGTGTAACAGAACAGATAAACTACATAAACCAGTTTGAAAATGGCTGAAACCAGTTTGAGACAAACCTGGTTGAATGTAGTATCAGACTTAACAGATTTGGCTCAAAGTAGTTCATGCTATGTCTGTCCCAGACCCCTTGCTGGTTTAAATTAAAAATTAGACTCCCCCAGCATCCTGGCATGTTCTCTGGGCTGGGCGGGGCTCTCTGCTCCACAGCAAGGCTGGCCCCTCCCCTCTGCTCCCTGGCTGCAGCTTGGCAGTCTCTGCAGGCATCTGCCTTGCTTCTGCTCCACACACCCCCTCTGCTAGAGTGAGAAAGGACATTTTCAGTCTTAAAATCTTGGCTTGACAGAGCCCTAGTTTGTTGACCTTCAGGCCATATTCAGTGCTTCCCCCCCCCCCCCCCCCCCCCCCCTTCAATCTTTTGAGGCATGTATATGAAAAGAATAAAATATATTAGTCTCATTGAGCTGGCTCAGTATACAGATATTAATGTAGTATGTAAGTGGGTATGCTGGATGTTTGTTGACAGTAGTTGTTTGTATATGAATCTGCATTAATAAGTGTGAATAAATAGATATTTGTGCATTTATTGGTTTTCTAGGTGATCTTAGGAAAGTAATTTCTCCCCTGTACCTCAGTTTCCTCATCTGCAAAATGGGGATAGTAATATCAACTTAATTTGTAAAGCACTTGGACATGTATGGATAAAAAAGCACGAAGAGCTAGAGCTAGCTATATATCAGTGTCCGTGTCGTAGTTACCTATTTGCACAAGTAAATGATCATATGCACATCTGCAGAAACATCTAGGATAGGTAAAGACTTAAATGCCACGTTACTCAGAAGCATCAAGCCTGATCAAAAGTTATTTAGTTCAATGAGAGGACTCCTGTTGATTTCAATAAGTCATGAAGTAGTGCTTGTGTTGCTTTTCCAATCTGTCAGATGATATCATAGCAGTAGTTTGAAACTACCATTTCCCACTTCCATGGGAAACTACCAATGGTTTTGAAACTACCATTTCAAAACTAGTTTAATTTATTCACTCCATTTTATAAAAGGCAGGAAGTTTTTCTTCTTGTATGAAATCATTAGGCTTTGAAGTTAATTGGTCAAAGGACAGTTTTCTTTTTTTAAAAATCTCAAATTTCCTCTTATCATTTTGATTGTAGAACTTCATGTATATATGGTTAGCATTTGATCTCTTAAAAGCTGCTTGCTAAAGAATGTCTATTACATGTTACATTATTGTGAGTTCCTGCATCCAACTCAGGCAGAGCTGTATTCTAACACTGCTAAAAATTACTTACGTGTTGGTTAAGAAGTTTGGTGCATTGATTAGCTCAGAAGAAAAACATGCTGGAAATCAAGTAAATGGTTTAAGGGTATGTTTTGTGTACTAAAATGCATTGGTCTTGACACATTTAAACAACAAAAAAAAAAAACTTTTCACATTTATTTGTTTGATCTAAATCAATTTAGCATGAGTTTGTTGCTTGTAGTGGTGTGGAAACCAATATGCAGAATATAGGTTATTTTGCTAATCTTATAACACGTTCTCTAGGGTGAGGAAGCTAAAAACATTCCTGGTGAATCTGTAACGGAAGAACAATTTACTGATGAAGAAGGCAACGTCATCACAAGAAAAGTAATCACAAATTGCCTCACTATTATGAGTCTTTGTATTCAAGTAACTACTCTTAACATACTTTCTCTTTTTAGAATCAGGAAAAAAAAATATCGATTCTTTTCATGTATTACTTCCCACAGGTAACCCGGAAAGTAGTAAGACGTGTTGTTATCCCGCATGAGAAGAGAGTTGGTGCAATGGTAATTGCTTGGAGACTACCAGGAAATAACAGTAGAGGATGAGGGTTGTGGTAACTAGCTAGAAAATGCTGCTGAAGGGCTGGAAATTTGCAATTTAACATCAAGCCTTGGCAAAGTTTAGTGCTTGCTTTGTTGACAAGTTGTGCATCTGGATGAAGATAGGACATGGTGTTACCTTTGTAACATTTGATAATGGGGTTTATTTTCAAAGAAGGTTCTTTTTAGTTTATCATTAGTGACAATCCTTTTCACCCAAAGTATAAGGGTTTGCTTATTTTAAATATTAAAGTTTAAAATATAAGGACTGGGTCTGAACACTCTTCTTTGTTCCCAACCCCCAAACCAAGTATTTCCATATATGTATTTTTATTTACCTTCCAGGATCTTTATCCTCCACCAGATACCCAATAAAGTTCAAAACATATCCAAGGGGAGGCCTGATCCTTCAGCCACTTACCTAAGTAGTCACCTGTAGGACTACTTAAGTGACTAAATGATTGCAGGAGCCAGTACGCTGTGAATGTTTTTGAATTAGAATAGTTTGCATAAAAGGGGCATGTCCCCAGATACAGGGGGATGTGCTTGCAGCAGCAAAAAAAGTAGCGGCACAAATTTGTGCCAGTACATTTTGCCACTGCACACGCCCCTACATGTGCACTTTGGTGCAGAACAAAATGCCCCACTTCAGAGGCAACTGCCATTTCCCTGCTTCTTCTGGCTCCCAGCAGAGCTGAACTAGAGGATGTGGGGGATCCTCTGGCCAGCAGCCAAAGTGTCTCCTGGTGGGGATCATGCCTCTGTGCCTACCAACACATGCTCCTGTGGTGTGTGCTGCACTGCTCTTTTTGGGGGGGTGGCTACTGGGATTTCCTAGTAGAAACTTTTGCCTCCATGCTGCAAATTTGCAGTGTGAAGTACGTTTTAACATGCGAGGCATGCGGTTTGTGGTGTTGTAAAGGGGAACCAGCCAGGGAATGTCAGGAAAGAATGTTTGTCCTTGGCAGCCAAAATCCAAGTCCTTCCTAGGGACCATTTTGTGCCAGCTTCTCTGCAGCTGTATAAGGAAAGCAGGGCTAGAAGTGCTTTGGCCCTCCCTAACAAATGATACAGGAGCCACTTACAACTGTAATCCTTGCACTCCTTGGAGCTTAAGAACTGCTCTCTCTATATTCCCAATGAGGTATGCGTCATCCTATAATGGCTCAGAGACAGAAAGGCATGCTTATTCCC